GCAAAGCAGAGTCTAATATTCACCTGAGTATTCAATGCCAGCATCAATGATGACTTTCTCCTTTGTCATACACTCCTGCGAGCAAAAAAGTCCATCATTTGAGATGAATCCTCACATTTGATAAAGGTAAGGCAGAAAAGGAAATAAGGACATATCACCTAATTATTAAAAAGACCCCACCTGCTGAACTGAGGTCTCAAGACATCATTCCATCTTCAAACATTTTCAAAGACCATTTTGTACTCACACATACTTCCTCCTCCTCATTAAACTGTTCACGCACATAAAAAAAAATGTGATCACTGCTTTACACCATTGATTTTATTTTATCTTCCAGACAGATCACTAGACGTCTAGCTTCTTTATCTCACCGGCTCAAGTCTCTTGTGCTCAGTAGTGACGTTCATTCTGAGGCTATGAAAAGGTGTGACCACCTCTCCCATGGTCAGATTTACAGGTTCCCTCTCAAATATCAACGTCTCGTTGTCATCGTCCTTGAAGCCAGGTGGCTGATACTCCTGAGGGGTCACTGAAACACAAATACACAGTGACACTGAATCAAAAAAACAAAAACAAAAACAAAACTAGACTGAGAGCTGTTGGCCAAAAGTAAATGTTGCATTAAATCCAACTATATTATATTGAATTTCTATTTTTAATCAAATAAACGTATATTCTCTACATTGCAATCTAAAAATGAAACAAAAATGTTATAAAGATAAATTAGAAATGAAGATATGTGTCAAGGGCATTTTCTCATATTTTTCCCTCCTCTTGTGATATGATATAGCAAGCCACATTAAAGGTAATCACGGGCCAAATTTGTTTGTGCATCTCTCATTAACTTTATGTTGTGTGAAGATCTGCAAAGTATGAAGTGCTTTTAAATAATCCAAATAAATATTGAGTTAACCACAATAACTTATCACATATTAAAGAAATAAATGACAATGTAAATGGACAACTTCATGTACATGGTACTGTCTGTGGCAGATAGCAAGGTAGATTTACCGTCATCATAGTAGAAGAGTTTCATGTTGAGGCAGATGTTGTCAGGCAGCGGGCCAAGATTTTGCATCAGCATGTAAAGCTTGCGCACCAGCAACATACTGGATTTCTGGGTGTTGTCACAGGCCATTTTAGTCAGACTCTGCCCATTTTTGCTGGAAACACAGACAATTATTTTCAAAAGCACAACATTAATATAGTCAGTATGCCGACACGTGGTAGCATATAATGCTATGGAAGCTATATATGTTGGGGTAAATATCCATCAACTAGTTTTGATAACTGCTCAGACAGAAATGCCACCTCTCAAAGTCCATCTGAGGTCCTTTCTCTGTGTAATTGATTTTAAACTGGTAGCATTCAGTCACTTTCTGCAGCAAAAGCAAAGATGGAAAAGTGAAAATGGAAATTCAGAGTCTTACATAAACAGGTTGTCATGCACTGATTTAATTTGTATTATATTAAAAGAGAGATTAAGTAACATTAAAGTATGGCATTCAACCAAACAAAGAGACAACATCTGATCACCTGTGGATTGTCTGGATCACAGTAAATCTACAAGTAAAATTAGTAACATTTTTATTTAAAAAATAAGACATATATAATATATAGCATATAAACTATCATACCACATCGTACAATGTACGGTTTTAAATTGATTACTGTTTGTTTTCAAATCCATTAATTAATACTCACTGATAGAAGAACCATGCGCAGCTGATAAAGCAAAGCAGATGCAAAAGGTCAAAAGGTTACTGTGAGTGATGATCAGTATATGTCTTGTTACTAAACATAAATGAAAACTACGAAAATGCAGAAGAGTACAAAAGCACAAACTTACGTATCTTCTTTGAAGTGCATCAAAACAGCCCTGCAACCTGAAACAGTGGAGGTGATACTCTCCATGCAGCTTAAAGGGGTCATATGATGCTGATAAAAAGAACATTAGTTTGTGTATTTGGTGTAATGAAATGTGTTTATGCGTTTTAAGGTTCAAAAAACGCATTATTTTCCACATACTGTACATTATTGTTTCTCCTCTATGCCCTGCCTTTCTGAAACGCGTACATTTTTACAAAGCTCATCGTTCTGAAAAGCGAGATGTGCTCTGATTGGCCAGCTATCCAGTGCGTTGTGATTGGCTGAATACCTCAAGCGTGTGACTGACATGTTACACCCCTTACCATACTGTGATGCCGTGTCCCGGCGCGATGAGACAAAAACAATAAAACCTATTATAAACGAGGCATTTGCTGCATCCAGTGGGGACATAATTACGGATTATAATGACTTATACTGTTTTTTTACACGTTGCGTTGCATCGCACCGCGTAAACATAAAACCATGTCAACAAGGTGTTTTAGGAGGGCGTGGACGAGTCTTAACTTTTATAAAGAATATCTCTTTGGGTTTGAGACTTTAGTCTTTGCAACTTTAGGGATCTTATCTATTCACGAACAACTTATAACACTCCAAAGACAAAGGAAAACTTGACATTGCATCATATGACCCCTTTAAACCAGATGTTCTCCAAACAGATTATACTTCCAAATGATGTATGAATTTGTAGTTTAAATTTTAATATACATTTTTCATGAAGGGAATGTGAATGTGTGTCAACTGTCCACTTACCACTGCACAATTTGCTGAGCACCCGGACCGCTATGCTCTAGCAGTATAAGGACTTTCAGCTCTTTGAAAAGAAAAGAAAAAACACAAATAATAAAGTTAATCAAGATTTCTGTTACTGTTTCACTTAATGCATAATTTTTACCTCCAACATATTTGCGCCCATAGGCCTTTTCTGGGAAAATACCCCTGAGGTAAGTGATGCTTGAGACAGCAATGGCTAAAAGTTTCTTCACAAGCACCAGTGACTGCTGTTCGGTGGACACCACATCAGGCAGCATCTGACAGCTCTACACACAGACACACACAGACACACACACACACACACACACACACACACAATTGGTAAGCAAGATATTATTAGATTTACAAAGGTATGGAAAGGCTAGCAAAAGCCTGGACAAGCTAAAGTTAAATTAGCGTCACACAGTAACGTTAGGTGGTATTGTGCTAGATGTGAGAAAACTACGTTAATCTTTACCTGAACAGGGTGCAGTTTCTGTTCACATGCCATGATGATTGTAACAGATTACCAGTAAAAAGCCAAAAAATAGCATCTAAAAACATAATGTGCGATTGTCAGTTTTTGCCTTTGGAATTAAAACAATGTTCTGTTGCTCAACAGCACATAACAGTGTAAAGAATATAATTCTCTTACCAGATAAAGTTGACAATAAAGATCTTGAATAACTTTTGCGGGCAGTTAAATTGTAAAAGAACGACAAATATCAACTGAAAACTGATGGTAACAAATATATTGGCCTATCTTATCTCAACCGACTTTTTTAAACTGTCAATCCACCGACCGAGTGTGCGAGACTCCCGCCATAAACTCCTCCGTGACGTCATGGCAAAAAGAAGAGCTGTAACTAGGATAACTCAAATGCGACTTCTCTTATTGTTTCTTGTCTAATTACGTGTAAGTACCATATAAACAAACAAACATTGGCTTATGCAAAGTTATTCAATACAGAAATAAGAATTATGCCATTTTTAATATAGAAGCGCTTCTTTTGAAAAACTGCAACGCGTGCATACATTCTATGGCTAGGCCCAAGCGGCAACCTCCCGCTCTCTCTCGTGATGCCAACAAGGAAACTGTAATTCACCGACTGGCCGCTAGAGGCTGGCTGCAAAAGGTAGTCAATCCCATAGACTCCCCATGTTAAAATGCCCAATTTTACAGCAGAAAAAAACGTTTACAGCCTGATTCAAAAAAATGATTTTGGTTTATATAGCTAATTTTGCCCTTCATGACAACTGTGAGGGGGGCGAATTTTTTTATAAGTCATCCGTTTAAATTATATTAAGCCTTAAAATTCTGCATGATTAAGGGCGTGGCCACTTGAGTGACAGGTGGATTGCCGCTGCTGTCACCACCGTTGAGCTAGGTGGGCGTGGTTTCAGCAGCCAGCTCCCGCCTTTTGCCCATTTTCGGTTATCTGGGAGTGACCCGCGGTGACGCGCTGCCAAGATGGCGACGGCCGGCTCCGCCCACTTTAGGCTTCAAAAACCTCTTCAGGAACCTACGGGTGACGTCACGGACGTAGTGTCCATTTTTTATTCAGTCTATATTCACTATTCGCTTTTCTCATACCGTTTATTTTTCGTTTTTATACATTTTGTAAATTGTTTTTGTGCATTTACATGAAAGATGTTATAATATTTGCAATAAAAAAACGTAGCAACAAAATGGTGTTCAACACTTTATGGCATGCTATAGGGGCTATTTTAAAATCTTAAAAAATACAGTATGATCATCAACTCATTGTTAAAAGTACTAAATATCATTCTTACCTCAGGCATGACAAGCCTTGAACACAGTGGGTTATTGTGAAGGGGAAATATAATATATTTGGGGTAGGAGATTGCAGGTGCACATATTTATAATAATAATAATAATAATTAATAATTTATGCATTTAGCAGACACTTTTATCCAAAGCGACCTACAGTGCATTCAAGCTATACAATTTTTGCCAGTATGTGTGTATATTTAAACGCCAATGCATGATTGATGTATTGTAAATGAAGTCTACTTAGGTCTAGGCCTTATAATTACTATTTCAGTAACAGTAATTACAAGGTCTTTCCTAGATAATAGTATATAATGATACATATTGAAAACCTGCCATTTATTGAGAATTTTTTATAAACATCTCCTGTAGATTTTAATATCATTTAACAGTTTAAGTTGCCCTATATAATGTTTATTATTGTGTGAGCTCGCAAAATCATTGTAGCCTACCATTGGTCACTTATTTATTTTGATACGACTATTGGAAATCTACGGGCTGATTCTCCTGTCTCTCAAACATCAAACCAGATTCCTATTGGCTCTTCCGCTGCGTGACCGTCCTCCAAAATGACGTCACTGCAGCGAACGCCATTTTGATACTGAACACCGTGGGTGGAACAGATCGGGCACGATTAGACGGCAACATTTACACGCAAACACGCTGATTAATTGGTCAGCAAACGCCGAATAGTCATGTCATCAGATAACCAGGATACGGAGACGCAGTCGGAGCAGATGGACGAGACTCAGGTGGGGATTAGATTCGGGTTGCGTCTCGCCCGCTGCAGTCTCTTGTGATGTCTGTCAGTTTCGACCACTATCATGTCATTACGCCTAAATGCCGTAATATTAAAATGACTTATTGCTTATTGACACCTTTAACACAGATATCTCTGACTCTTTGCAATTTGTTTTCTGAGTTGTCACCTGCATGAGTTGAACAATGTGATAGACGTGCAGTTTGCAAGCATGAGCCTCCTTTTGATTGGTTAGTGAGCTCAGACGTCACGAAATAACAGTGTTTGATTGGTTCATTCTGCCACTCGTTTTTGTCACACCTACTTTAACCTGACGGTGTCAGTTGGGTTTCCGCATAATGTTGTCAAGTTAAGCCAATCTATGATAACCAGATTCTTATTATTTATTTGAAGGGGCCATGTTCAATTTATTAAAAATCAGAAGACCTTCATAAACGCACTATTATTGACAATTTTGTGCTAAAATGTCATGTATCCAAATGAGATTCAGGACACGACCACGAGTCCAAGAGCATGCAGTTTTTAAGCCTTGTTTGCACTTTTTTCCAGGTGGTGCTGAATATAGCAGCTCATAAATTACTTGTTATAGATCCTAGTGAATCAGCATATTGGACTTAATCAGAAGAGTGTTTCTTCTTCAGGTGTTTTGTGTTTATTAATGTCAAACAGTGTGTGGAAATTGCTGTCAGTGGAGGAAAAAATACCATCATGATAAACTACAGTTTTAACCTTTTGGATGAAACCTAACTTTGTTGTTTTTTGTTCCCTAGACCGGATAAAAATGTTTTTGATGTATATCATTGGGGAAAAAAATAAAATGCTATCTCATGGGTCCTTGTAGAATTTAATAAACACATAGGAGACTGTTTAGATTCTGCGTTTGTGTTTTAAAATGCTGTTTTATGAATTGTTTGTGATTCACAGAGACTCATATAGGGTGTAGCATGTAGAATTAGTTACTGTGTCATGATGATTTACAAACCTGTTTTTCTGCAGTTTGCTTTCTGCTACAATTGCATGCAAATTTATGTGTCTTTTAGCCAGCATAACATGCATTAAAGATCTGTCCCTTGTTGACACACGGCCTAGTCATTTGCAAAAATGGTCATGCAGTCATAATGGAAGCATACTTAAACATCTGTACTGCAGTCTATATCATTAGCCCTTTCTAAAGACTGCTTTTTGTTGTTTACAAGGCCTCAAGTCTAAACACAAACCCTCTTGATTCCTTAGCTTAGGGCAAAATCGAGGATGATTCAAAATGCAACCAAACAACTGAGGTTCTCAATAATATGTAGGTTTTCAAATATTTGCAGGGCTCGCTAAATCGTTAACCCGACGTCCAGAGGCTATTGTGTATTTCAGTCGGGCTACCAAAATGTATCAAACCCCTGGCCCGACAGGCTATTTTGAATACAGGGTTCTCGTAGGGTCCTTAAAAGTTTTAAATTTAGTTGTATCAAATTTAAGGCCATAAAAAGTATTAAATACCTAAATGGAATAAGTAAAGTCTTAATAATAATTCAAGAGGTACTACATTTGGGGACGGAAAGACAAGAATGGATGATAATGGATTAATGTGACGATTAAACTTCAGAAGGCTATAATTTGATTGAGTAGGCTAAATAAGAGTGCTGCACGTTTCAAAGTCAAAACGCAGCGTTGCTGTATTTATATGAATGTATCTCTGAAGGGAACTGGCTATCTTCAGAAAAGTTTCGAGGGCATTTTCATTTAATCTTTATTTATAATGCCTGAAAATGTAGCGTTTGTGAATGCAGCGCTGAAGATGTTTACAAATTGTCTAAACTCGGATGTTGAATAGTTTCAGTTGTGACAATTTCCAGACATGCTGTTTGTTTATTTTAGATTGCATTCATATTGAAACCAAGTAGTTTTAATATTTGGTTTCAATATGAATGTGAAGTCAGAGAAAACACCTGGGAATTTAATGCCAAGTTAAACTTGCTGTACCTTGCCCAGAAATGTGATTAAGGACCACACACCTTTTGGGAATTACAGGAAGAACAATAACATGATGAAAGGGGTTTTGTTTTATTGTTGTCTTATTATATTGTGGGTGTGAGATTTATTATTTCGAGTTTTGAGTGTTGATTATTAGTTTTTTCCTTCTTCCTCTTTATAGTTTTAGTAGTAAGACTAAATGAAAGCAGACCACTTTTCAGTATTTTATAAAGACTGTTCACATAAACTAATTCAAAATCCTCTCATACCCCTTTTAAAAAATACCTTTAATCTGCATGGATGTAATAATTGATGTAAACACATGATGGTAAACACTTTTACATTGTTACAAAAAAATCTATTTAAAATAAATGCTGTTCTTTTGAACTTTCTATTCATCAAAGAATCCTGAAATGTATCATGGTTTATAAGTAGCACAGCTGTTTTTAACATTGATAATTAATGTTTAACCAAATCAACATATTCAAATTATTCGAATGACGTCCACTGAAGACTGGAGTAATGGCTGCTGAAAATTCAGCTTTAACATCACAAGAATAGATTGCATTTTAAAATATATTGCAATAGAAAACAATTATTTTAAATTGTAATAATATTTCACAATAATAATGTTAACTGTATTTTTGACCAAATAAATAAATCCTTGATGAGCATAAGAGACTTATTTCAGAATCATAAAAAAAAAATACCAAACTTTTCAATGTCAGTGTACATATAAGAATTAATATCTAACTAATATCAAATAACATCGCAATAAATGTTTTTCAGGAATCCCAGGACACAAACTCAAACCCAGTGCAGACAGAGGAGGCCAAATTGAAAGCGAAGTATCCCAACTTGGGTCAAAAGCCAGGTGGCTCCGACTTTCTGATGAAGAGACTGCAGAAAGGGGTAAGTTAAAAAATTTCAACAACTGAAAAAAAGCATGTTTTTAAAGGCATTCATTCATACAGATTTTTGAAGTTCCAGGTGCTTACAACATAGCCAAAACAAACAAGACCTTTTCATTTTTTCATAACATTTTTATTTGTCTCCAGCAAAAGTATTTTGACTCAGGAGATTACAACATGGCCAAGGCAAAGATGAAGAACAAACAGTTGCCTGCCGCAGCCGGTCCAGACAAGAACATCGTCACCGGGGATCACATTCCAACTCCACAAGACCTTCCGCAGAGAAAGTCCTCATTGGTTACAAGTAAACTGGCTGGCTAACGTCAGCCATAGGTTTTGAATAAACCCTCTTACCAAACAAAACCAAAACCTCCCCAGCCCCGGCAGACCAGCTTCATCAGGACAGGTTATCAATTTATTTTGTTTTGTTTCTTTTAATTTGGGTGTAGATTTTTGCTGTCATTTTGTTTCACTTCAGTAGGTCTAAGCATCCCAGCTCTGTTAACCTCTTCAGTGTCCCACATAGAGTAGGGATAAACTAAACCCTTGGTACTCCAGGCCCTGGTGGAGCATGATGCACTTTACTCTGTGTACCCTGTATATTAGTGATATTATGAACAAACCCCTGAAGACTTCATAAAATGCTGTTCAAAAGATGTTTTTAAAAGTGTCAAATAATTTAACAATTATTTAGGATTGTTTTAAAAGGCATTGTTTTCTATATAGACAATACTTGACAGCCATTGGCCCCAGATTGCATTGGCAGCCCTCTTATCATTCATAATGACAAATTAATGAATGTTTTATGAGAATTAAAAAAAAAAAAGTCAGTGAACAGAATAGTCAGATCAATTTTGGTAAAGAGTGGCTGGTAGCTGTGTAGCCTTTATCCACACTTCTACCTCTCACTCTCTAAATATGGCTGAGTTGAACCAACAGCTGCTTACGACTGGATTGTTTTATTATTCTCAGCCTTCACCTTCCATGGTAGAATCTGAGCAAGCGGTTCCAATCTTGCTGATTAGATTATTGTAATCACAGCTTTTGGGTGTAAACAGAGAATGTTGCAATTCAATGATAACAGCCAAGAGCAGAAATGGTCTCTGAATGTCGCATGAGAATGAAGGGGGGCTTAAGAAAATGAAATTGTCATTGCACAAAGAATGCGTTAAAAGATAAAGTATGTTCATAGACAGTGGTGGCTATATGTGTTTTAGCTTATGGGCATCTGGAGTCATTCAGCTTTGTGTACACTATCAGCAGTGTATGTATTAATGGGATTAATGTGCGATTTATTTTGTGATATCCAACACATATGTAATGTAATGCACATGACCCCTTTGATCATCTGAGATAATGATGACGCAATCATCTTATCCGTCTTAACAAAATGAGTCGATTTGGTCCTAAATATCTATGTATTTTCTGAGGAACGAGGTGCGGAAGGAAATTTGCAGAATTGAGCAGCACCTTTGGTTGAATCTTTGTAAAATATTTCAGACCTAAATAGTAAAATTCTCTACTTAAACTTGGACAAAGTTACATGCTTAAACATATAAAAAGTATTGGAAAACATTACCCATAGATTGCTTTGACATGCAGCTTATTTTCGGGTTCCAGATATACAAAGGACTTTGGGGAATATTATATCCTGTGACCCATTTTTCCCTTTACGGTCTTTTAAAAAGATACTCTTTTCTCATCATTTAGCAAAGTGTCCTTCTTCAGAGGGCATGAATCAATTAACCCCTGTAGCTTCTTCAAAGTGCGAAGAAGTCTGCACAGGGCTGTTGTAAATCATTGGAAACTTAACAGCTCAGTGGATCTTAACAACTCATTTATTCCAGGCTGTAAGACTTTGTACAATCCTTACAGAGTCCAAGTATGAGGATTGATACCTTTACAGAGCAAATCTAGACTGAACCTAGGCAGTCAATCCAGGTGTCTAAATCAGGATTTGCATAGTCTAATCAAGTTGTCCCTCCTAAAACCACATACACGCCTACATGTGGCCTGAAGATTAAGATAAAAGAAAGTGTTTAGCCATGTGAAGTTAACAAAAACATGTATATTAATGCATGTTATTCTTGGTAAAATACTGTACTATCACTATGTAAATCTCACTAAAAGGTGAATTACATCTAAGGGGTTGAATGTGTTTTTTCATGTATGGTTGAGGTGCTGGTGGCAGTTGGCAATACATCAGGGAAATATGATGGTCTTGCACTTAGTATTTGTCACTTGATGGTATGTGTGGATGTACAATGTTTCCTTTGAGGAATGCGTTATTGCACAGTGCTAGGAGATAATCTTATTTTGTGCTGCAGCCAAATTGTAAATAGTCAAACTGCATCCGGTGTCATATTTGTGCATTTTGTCTCGCATTATCGGTCTCAGTTGTCTTTCCAATATTCACCAAGTTTGTTTTATCTTTTATTTTTTAATATTGCGTCTGAATCTCTCTCTGCTTTTTGATGCAACATATTGGCAAGAATATCATCAGTTCTAGTGTGAGAAATGTAAATATGGAGGTTAAGGATGCTTGTATTGTAATTAAAGAAAGCTTTTTAATCGGTTGGATTAAATTCAGACAGTTCTGGACTGAAAACCTTCCACTGCAATGTGATATTCATGGATATTCAACCACATATTAACTCTAAATCTACAACTTAAAGCGCTCTCAATTAGACACACAAAGATCTATTCTTTGCTTACTTTATGAAGCTTTTAGTGTTTAATTATTTTATTTGTGTGCCCCATTTATATATTCTTTATTGTTTCAGATGTTTTGCTTGAATTACTTTGTGTGTTGAAAGTGGATTTCCAGAAGTTTGCAGAGTCATCTGGTCTCTCACAATTATATTTACAGGGAAGGATGGTGAATCAAGAAGTAAAGATAGATGTTTCAAGTGAATACTGGAGCTATGTCTGAAATTCAAATAAAGTTTTACATTAATAGTAAAAGCACTGAGTGGTACCTTTTTATTTTTCTAACGAAATGTAGATAACGTCCATGTGTTTACTTTTGTGGTATTAAGAACATTTCTATTATAGTCTAAGTAAATTGATTGAACAATTGCATACAAACATATTTTGTGGCATAATTATGGCGTTATGGCATCATCAAAAAGTAAATATTAAATGTATGAATTGCATTTGTCAAGAGTATACGCCAATTCCCTGTTTTGCTCTATGTAGCCTAGAGCAGGGTTCCTCAAATCTTGCCCTGGAGGGCAAATGCGCTGCAGAGTTTAGCTCCAACCCTGATCAAACTCACCTACCTGTGATTTTCTAATGATCCTGAAGACATTGATTAGCATGCTCAGGTGTGTTTGATTAGGGTTATTGCTAAACTGCAGGAAAGTGGATCTCGTGGGACAGATTTGAGGATCCCTGGCCTAGAGAATAAAAGAAACGTTGTACGAAACGATGTAACTAATAATGAATAAAAACAACAAAGATGCGCGTGCGTGGACGCTCAGTATGTCACTCATAAATATAAATTATTTTTCATTGGAGCTGTTTTGAAGCTAGTATTGTCTGTATATAGCCTATGTCTTGTAAAATATCTAGCGGTGCACAACCGGTGTTTACTAATTGCCAATGTGCCAATGTCTATCTTGTTTGCCAAATTAAATGGGGCTCTTTGAAAAATAAAAACTGAGCCGTAATAGATCTGAAGCTTTGGCTGCTCATGATTTGCATATGTTATACATTCTTTGCTGCAAATTTTGTTCTACAATTAGTTGTCACTAGGGGGAGCGCCACTCTTTGAAAAAAATGGGCGGACCAAGGAAAGAAAACAGGGTGGAATCTTTAAACCCAAACATAAGAATACTGGTCTCTGGTCGTTTCTAAACTGAAGGGACGTTAATCCTACCAGGCTGTGAAACATTTTGACATGAAATGATTTGAAATATTGCCTCTGCTGATGCAAACCCAGTGCCGTTTTACGAAGAGAATGTAAATATTCTCATTGTCACAGATTTGGGGGCTTTACACGAATGTGGAGCGCATTTTACGTGCGGAACCTGATGTACCTAACGTTTCGAAAGCGCAGTAGGCTACGTGTTTTCGTCAATGATTGGTCAACAGAGAGACAGCCCGCCCCTGTTCCGATTGTATATAACATCGAAACTTCTCACCAACGCTTCGCCTTGCTAAAGTAAAATGTAGTAGATTTGCGTTCAGTTTTAATGTTGAAGGACGTCGTTTCCTACCATATTACGTCGTTGATACATTGGATTAAAAGCATTAATGTGAATTAGCAAAAATGTTCCCTGGGAGTAAAGTTTTAAACGACAAAGGCTTTTGGCCATGCATTGGAATAACAGCTCTTAACGTCAACAGCAGCTCGGGCGGGCTTGGTCGCAAGCCACTGGTAATGCCAGAACGGAAACCCCAGAACCAGTTTACAGGGAACGGACTCCAGGGCTCGGTACCATCCTCGCCTAAACCGGATTGCGAGGAAGTACAAGATGAATACACGTCCATCTACGACGCCCTGGAAATGGACACACGAGAGATTATTGACATTTTCTTAAAGAACTTTACTGGATTCCCTCATTCTAAAAGTGGGAATAAACAGGTTCTGGCAACGATGAATCGGGTTGTGGAAAGTCTTGTGATGAAGCACGAACTGGTTTACAAAGGTAATTTCAAAAGTTCTTGCTGACTTCTAGCGACTAGCGCTCTACGGCTTCCATTTCGCTTTGTTTCATAATGTTAATGGGTTGATAAGAGCAGGGTAAACCTTGTTAACGAGTCTAATGGCAGCCTCACCCACAACACGCACCTGGCCTGGCAGGTTGCTCCACTTCATGCCACGTATTTATGGCCTTTATGATTCCGCAGTAGCCTTTAACATTTCCCTCTTTCAGGTATGATTGCACGTCTGAATCTGGAGCAGAAAGGAGAAGATGTGAGTTTCGTCAAGACTGTGGCAACGGAACTCTTCAGCGATGGCATCACAAACTGGGGTCGCATTGCCAGCCTGCTTACTTTTGGGGCAATGGTATCTAAGCATCAGAATGATAAAGGACTTAGCAAGTGTGTGAGTCTGGTGGGGAAAGAGATCTCTTCCTATCTTCTCACAACCCAGCGGGACTGGCTGCTCAAAAACAAAGCATGGGTGAGTTTTTTTTTTTTTTTTTCTTCATTTTTTTCCCCAATCACAGGACTGCATATGCTTTTATTTTAAGTTTTGCTTTGTAACTTGTTCTTACCTAGTGTATGCATGTTTTTCTCCTTAGGATGGCTTTGTGGAATTTTTTCATGTCCCAAATACAGAAGCGGCTGTGAGAAACACATTGATGGCCATTGGTAGTGTGGCTACATTCGGAGCTGCACTTGCTTATTTGACACGGTGAATCCAAATGGACTTTGTGACAGATATTGAAAGACAAAAAGAATCTACGCGAAATTTTTTTTTTAAGTGTATGAGAAATCGTTTTTTTTTTTTTGGATGTCAAGTGTGTGTAAAAACTGGTTCAAAGTGATCTTTTGAGAAATTGAAAATATTTTTTTATTAAAAAGTGAAATTGAAAAATTGTAGCTGTTCAGATCTGAATTGTTGATTGCATGTGCAAGTAACAATTTTAATGTCAGTTTTTGTGTACAGTTTACACAAGAATCACATGTTAAATTGTCAATACACTTCTAGCAGTGTTCTGTATTATTTTTATATATATATATATATATATATATGATATTGGATATTGGATATTTTGAAAAAGATGGCATACATTAAAATTCACAAATACTTGTTGCATCTGCTATAAAAAAGTGTAATTAGTCATTTTAGTACAACACCTTCACATTTTCATAGTCACTTTTTGTTTCAGAAATATAGTGCACATATATCCCACTCATGACTTCAGGTGCTGGCTTTAGCTGATAAGTAAGCTTTAAAGCTTTTATCTAAAAGCTAATGGTGGTTCTGTTTTGAGTCCTAGCTTAGGACTATGATAGCTAACCACAAGGCTGCTAAATGTTTTCATTTCCTGCAGATGGACCTTTTGGATACACTGAGAAGTTTGAGAAGTAGTTATGGTCATTGACCTTTTTCTGTGAATATACTGTTTTCTAAACTGCAAATTAAACCATTTTTTAAATATTCTTAGTTGATTAATCCCTTACCACAGTTAACTGTGTGGCTAGGTAATAAGTCCAAGGTTTATGTGCTTTATTTAGCCCATTATTTGTAGCTTCAAAGATTTTCTAGATTTTCATCTGTATGTTGTAGCAGACTTGTGTAAATGGCTAAAGAGTTGACAATTCCTGTGTATACACTCATTCACTGTCATTGCAGCCTTTGGAAAAAGTTGCACTGTGCTGTGGAAATGTTTTGGGAAGTTTGACAGTATATAAAAATATATTTTTATTTTGTCACCCATAATCTGTTTTAAATTATTTTATTCTGAGAAACAAATATTACACAACATATGAATTCCATTTTCTTAGCTGCACAATGTGTAGCAGGAAGTTTGATGTTGTAAATATGACCTCAGTATTTGCCGTCATGTTCTGATCCTTATACAGAGGAAGTTTCTCAGTTGATTTCTTAATCTTCTCTTTTGCTGTACTTTTTGCCTGAAGGTGCTGGATGTAGCCAGTTTGGCTTGATTTCTAATGTGGAAGTAATGGTTGTTAACATAATGTTTGCTAACATCATGACTGTCACATGGTTTGCGTGATTTACTTTACTGACTTTACACTTCAGTACAGTGAGGCACTTTTTAATGCTGAATGGCCGGAGTTTTAGAAAATCACATGAGGCTTGAAGAAACTTCAGCAGTTTATATTGTTAAATAAATTTAAAAAACTAAATTTACGAATAAGTTTAAAAGATTTCTGTCTGAAATTGCTGTGAATTAAATCAGATGTTAGTGGCTTACATGGTAATGTCCACTTCCTTAGTGAATGACATCAGCCTATAAATGGTCACAGGAAATATTTTCATAATGTAATGGCAATTCATAATGCATTGACATTCTGGAAATACTTTGCATGTGTGTGTGTCTCATACCCTTGATAAGGAAAGGCCAGTTAAAGAAGGAAATGTCATGAACCATTAGCAAGGCAGCAGAACTCCAGTGATGTTAAATTAGGAATACAGCGAAACTGCTGGAAGGTGGCCCTCCAGGAGCAGGATTTTGGACACCTCTGCCTAATAGTAAGAGATTTATTTGAGACACATTGTATGTATCACGGCTTATGACTCTTGTGCTCAATGCTGTGTGGAATGGTAGAAATAGTTTTCAGTGGATCTTAAACAGTTTGTTTCATTTGCATTCCCACATTCGACAACCTAATGCTAGAAAAAAACAAACAAAAACAAATGGATGTCCTTAAGGGACAGTTCACCCAAAAATGAAAGATGTTATCGTTTACTCATTGGCATTTTGTTCCTGTATGATTTTCTACTGTAGAACACAAAAGAAGATATTTTGAAGAATGTTTCAACTGTTTTTTTTTTTTTTATACAATGAAAGCCAATAAGGTCAAATCACCACTGTACCGATTAAAATTTTTCAAAATATCTTGTTTTGTGAAAGAGTCAAATATGACGGAAACAATGATGACTGAATTTAAATTTTGGGGGGATTTTAACTCTTGAAGCCAGGAATTTGCTTATCAAAACATACAGGAATTGTATCTGGGAAATCGGATGAAGAATTATTTAGCATGCTTTAAACATATTAAGTTGATTTGAAAAAGAATTTGCTGACAAAACACAGTTTAGTCCCTGGTTTTTCTGGCTAAGCTTGACAATATTTGTGTGAGCGTGCTTGTTTGCTCAGATTGGCTTTGTGTCTGGTTACAGGTCATCCGTGGGGTCTAATGAGGACTATGGTAATGACACACACAGGGCCTCACCTGATCCTCCAGCTCACTGCTGCAGCACCTGCTGTGGTTACCTGAGCCAGGCAGCACATGGCTGTTATACTCAGTGGAAT